CTAACCCCAATCTTTTATTATGCAGTTGGGTCCTCTGCCTGAGCTACTCCATGTTGCTTATTTCTTTCTTACTCTGCACATTCTAACAAAAAAGGGAAGGTGGAGACCCCATGGTGGACATGCCTGTCCCCAGGTAGCCCTTTCTATAGGTACAGCTGCTGGCATCCCCCGTGCAAGCTTCCAGCTTCCTTATGTTTGCAGCATGATCTTCCAGGCTTCCCTTTGTTAGAAAAGAAGTGTTTTCTGGCCAGGCGCGATGGTTCACGCCTGTAATCCCAGCACTTTGGGAGACTGAGGCGGGTGGATCCTGAGGTCAGGAGTTCAAGACCGGCCTGGCCAAGAAACCCCGTCTCTACTAAAAAACTACAAAAATTAGCCAGGCATGGTGGCAGGTGCCTGTAATCCCAGCTACTTGGGAGGCTGAGGCAGAGTAATTGCTTGAACCCGGACAGCAGAGGTTGCAGTGAGCCGAGATTGCACCACTGCACTCCAGCCTGGGCGACAGAGAAAGACTGTCTCAAAAAAAAAAAAAAAAGAAAAAAGAAAGAAAAGAAGTGATTTCTTGGGCTGCTTTTTGTTGAAAAACAAGTTCTGCTGAGGACACTCTTTTGCCTTATTTGCCTAAATAATTTATTTCTATCTCCTGTATCAATATCAAGGCAATTCAATGAAAACAGGACTGTCTTCAGTAAATGGTGCTAGAATAATTTCATAACCACAATGCAAAAATATAAATTTAGACCCTTACTTAATACCATACACAAAAAATTGATTAAGAATGAATCACAGACCTCAATGTTAGAGTTAAAACAATAAAACTCAGCCAGGACAAGTGGCTCACACCTGTAATCCCAGCACTTTGGGAGGCCGAGGCAGGCAGCACGAGGTCAGGAGATTGAGACCATCCTGGCTAACACGGTAAAACCCCGTCTCTACTAAAAATACAAAAAAAAAATTTAGCCAGGCGTGGTGGCAGGCACCTGTAGTCCCTGCTACTTGGGAGGCTGAGGCAGGAGAACGGTGTGAACCCAGGAGGCAGAGCTTTGCAGTGAGCCAAGATCGCACCACTGCACACCAGCCTGGGCAACAGAGCGAGACTCCAGCTAAAAAAAAAATAAAAAAAAAAAAATAAAACTCTTAGAAGAAAACATAAGAGCAAATATTTCTGATAATGGGTTAGCCAAAAATTTCTTAGGTATGTCATCAGAAGCATAAGTGATTAAAAATTGATGAATTGATCAAAATTTAAAACTTTTCCATTCTAAAGATATCATTAACCATGAGAAAAGGCAAGCCAAAGACTGGGACAAAATAGTTGTATGTTATATATGTAATAAAGGACTTCTATCTAGGATGCATAAAGAACATTTATAAATCCATAAGACAAATAGCCCAATTTTTTAAAGGACAAAAAAGCTGTACACAATTTTTTTTAATAGCAGTTTATTCATAACATCTGAAACGTGAGAACAACACATGCCTTTCGGTGGGTGAATAGCTAAACAAACTGGTAAATCTATACTGTGGAGTATTACACAGCAATAAAAATAACCACTGATACATACAATAACCTGGGTGATTCTCAGTATAATTATGCTGAGAGAAAAAAATCTAAGCCCCCAAAATTACATATAGTATGACACAGTTTACATAATGTAAGCAGGAGGATAAGAAGTATCATGAAAATATAACAGGAGAGATCTTTATGGTGATGTAATTATTCTGTATCTTGACTGTAGTGATGGTCATAAGAACCTATACCTCTGATAAAATTGCACAGAACTAAATGGACACACACACAGACACAAATGAGTACATCTATGATGGAAAATCTGAATAAAACAGACGGATTGTATCAATGTCAATTTTGTGGTTGTTAAATCTGCATAACAATAGTTATGCAAGATATTGCTATTGGGGGATAGTAAGTAAAGTGTAAACAGGATCTCTCTGTATTATTTTTTACATCTACACATGAATCTACAAGTATCTCAAAAAGAGCTTTATTTTAAAATGGGGCTAAAGATTTGGGTAGACATTTCATCAAAGAGGCTATACAAACAGAAAACAGGTACAGGAAAAGATGTTCATCGCTAATCATTAGGGAAATGCAAAGTAAAACCATGATGCACACCCATAAGAATAGTTATAATAAAAAAAGACAGTAACAAGTGTTGGAGAGGATGTGGAAAAAGTGGAGCTCTCCTGCATTGCTTGTGGGAATGTAAATTGATGAAGTCACTTTGGAAAAACAGCTTGGCAGTGTCTTAATAAGTTCAACATCATCTTAGCATATGACTCGGGAATTCCACTCATAGGTTATCTATACAAGAGAAATTAAAACCTATGTTCAAACAGAAGCATGTGTGCAAATGTTTATAGCAGCATTTTCATAACATCCAAAATGTGGCAGCAACCCATATGTCATCAACTGGTAAGCAGATAAACAAAATACGATTTACCCCAACAATGGAATGTTATTCATCAATTAAAAGGAATAAAGTACTGATACATGAAACAACATTGATGAACCACAAAAACATATGCTAAGAAGCTAGACACAAAGACCACTTAGTGTATGATCCCATTTATTTAAATGTCCATTAAACAAATCTGTAGAAAAGAAAGTAGATTAATGCTTACCAAGTGTTGGGGATGAATGGGGAATGGCTGAAAAATGGGACAGAGCTTTCTTTTGGGGATGATGTAAATATTTTAAACTAGTTTGTAGTGACAGTTGCACAACTCTGTAACTAAAACTAATGAATTGAATGCTTTGATAAATAAATAAAATAAAGCTGTCTTTAAAAGGTTACAATTCTTTTCAGCTGTGAAGGTTGAAACCTCTTAGATGGTTAATGATCTCATGCCTCAGTTCCCTATTAATTATATGGGAGAAATACCCCCATACCCTGCTTAGCAAGTTAGGCATAATGTTACACAACCTGCTTTCTTCTCCATCTACTCCTCGATTTACTATTCTTAATACTAAGGTATCATTCAGAAACCATGGTGTTTCTCGTGTTTACTGACAATGGATAAACAAAATGTATTTTTCTTCAGCTTGCTTAATTCCAAATTCTCCTATAGTTAAGCAAAACAAATGACCTTTGGTATCACATATGACTTTTAATCACAATATATAGGCCAGAAAACAGATGGACAGATTTGACTACCTTGTGCGTTTAGTCAAGTATAGCACTTCCCTGAACTGTTTGGTCCTTTTGACATCTGACTAAATACGAGAGGCCTCTTTCTATTTTAACAGATTTTCCCCATCCCTTTCCTTCCTTCTCATTCTCCATGGCCATAATTTCTCCACTTTTACCATAGTTCCAATATCTTACTTGCACTTATTACAGAGTCCACCCCCTACTCCTTTCCCTTTCTGTCCTTCAAATGGCCTTTCCTAGCCTAATCTTGAGTGTGAGGAGAAACTATCATTTAAGCAGTAGTCGGTGAAATACTTTTCCCTGTATACACAGACTTAGTGGACCTTCGTGGATAAGATATTTGGAAAAATTTTAAATGTCGTTTACAGTTTTTTTTTTTTTTTTTTTTTTTTTGCTTCTTGAAAGAAAAGAACTGTTGCAGAGTATTAATTTTGATCTTAACTCTGACACATTTATTAACATCCAAAAAAAGCAAAGATATATGATATATGTCTTGCCAGAAGGCTACTACAAAATATTTTAAGGTTCCATCTTCTATAATTCCTGGCTAGTAGATACAGTCATCTAAACGACAAAAAGTTGTAATTTGTTGCTTATTGATAGTGTTATGACTTATTTTTAAAGTTCCCTAAATAATCCAACTTTTGAATAAAAATGGGCTTTTCATTTTAATAACACATACTCCTTGATGATAATGGTTTGATTCATTTCTCTTACAGAACTAATTTCTTCCTACTTCACACACATTAAATACTTTGTTTATACTGATAATGTCATGCTCATCCTAAATTAAAGTTTGACTATGTCTGTTTCCCCAGAGACACACCATCTGATAGGGATACAGCCGTAGTGTAGCAGAAAGAGCAGTGAAGCTGGTATTAGAATGCTTGGATTACAGTGTTTGTTCTGTTACTTAGCAGCTGTGTGACTTTACTGTCTTAATGATATGGATTTTTGTGCTACTGCCAAGTATAAAACAGTTTGGCACACTATTTAGAAACGCAAAATATGTGATCTCCACAACATTTTAGCGAGTATAAAGAAGATAGGATAGACTATTTAAAATGGAAAATTTTGGACAAAAGGTCACCATATACCTGAATAAATTACTTAACTTCCGAAACCCACTTTTGTCATGTAATAAAATAGATATAATGATACCTACCTCTCAGGATTAAGGGTTAACTGAAATATTGTACGTGAGGGTCTAGCTCAGTGCCTGGAAAATGGATGATGTTAATTAAGGTTTCCTTAGGTTAGAATGCTCCTTTCACTCCCTCCATCTGCCCCCTCCCCCAAAAAACACTCCAAAATTCAAACATGCATATTCTGATTCATCTTTTAAGGAAGAGCCCAAGAGGCACCACTCTACAAAATCTTTCCAAATAACTTCAGGCAGTACAGCCCTTTGGTTAAGAGTACTGGGCTTTTGGAATCAGAAGAGACCACCAAATTTAAAATCAAGTCTGCCATTTAGTAGCTTCCTGACACTGGACAAATTACTTATTTTCTCCGCAGCTAGATTTCCCATCTGTAAAGTAAAATCATCATGATACATACCCCATAGGGTTGCGGAGGATTAAATGAGATATACATACAGAGCACTTAACACAGTCCCTGACTTAAGTCTTCCGTTAAGTATTACATAGTAGAAGTAGTAAAAAGTTTCCTCGTAAGTAAAATGCTAATAAAAGTGCTTACCCTGCCTCCCAAGATTGTGACAAAGTTATGACGCATGGCTTTTAAACTGCAATGTTGAACAAACGTAAGGGATTGGTATATACCTTGAGATATTTTGGATAAAGTTCTAATCTTACTTTTATACAATACGCTTTCCCTCACCCGCCTGCAGTGGGGTTAATAATGCCCAGCATTAACTAATAGGAAATCAAATCAGAAGATATCCAGAACACAAGTAGCTGACGCTCACAGAGCAGTATTAAGGCGAGCACCCGCAGACCGGACCTGGATGATTCCTTGGAGTTCACCTCTAGCGGCCCCCTCCCCTTGGAGCTGCGCAAGCGTACACTGATTTTGCTCCTCTCTAGGGCCCCCGCCTCCAACAGCCGCCCCCCCGCACCCCCCCGTCTGCCCAACACGCAGGCGCGTCTCCTCAAATCCTGTCCCTACACCCCTCCTCTTTCTCTTCATTTCGTTCCCCCTCCTCTTGCAGCACCTCAGCAGGTTCAAACTCCTCTCCGGGAGAGTGGCGGCGATCGCGGGGTCACGTGATGAGCATCCTGCTGCCCAACATGGCGGAGTTCGACACCATCTCTGAACTGGAGGAGGAGGAAGAAGAAGCGGCAACGTCGTCGTCGTCGCCGTCGTCGTCGTCGTCTGTATCTGGGCCCGACGATGACGAGGAGGATGAGGAGGAAGAGGGGGAGGAAGAGGAGGAGGAGGAGGAAGAAGAGGAGGAGGAGGAAGAGGAGGAGGAGGCGCCGCCCCCGCCTCGGGTAGTGAGCGAGGAGCATCTGCGGAGATATGCTCCCGACCCTGTATTAGTGCGGGGTGCCGGCCACATCACTGTGTAAGCGAGAGGGGGTCTTGGGACTTGAAAAGCCTGAGATTTGGCAACAGAGGAATGAGAAGTGATCGAGGGGCCTGTGGAGTGGGGGAGGGTTTACTGAGGCGTACAGTTAGGAAAGGACACCAGGTCTAAATGGGGAAACCATGGGTGGATACGTGTGAAGGAAGTGAGGTGAATGTAAATATGATGCACCAATGCCAGGTAAAGAGTGAGTATAGGAGAGGGAAGTTAGGGGTTTGGGAGCCAGAGCGATTGGAGTAGGGGTGAGTCTCCTTTCTTGTACGTATGCTGGCAAGTGAACAGTCTCTAAACTGCAGGATGTACCAGAGCGTTTTTTCGCTGACAAGATTGATACTTTGTGGGAAACAGCAATTGCTGTGACATGTGACAAGAACTAGGCTTGCATTCTTCAAAACAGAAACATGATACATTTTGTGAATAATAATAGAATGTTCATTCATCCATTCTTCCTATCTAATCCTTCCTTGTATATCACTCGATTAGAGGTTCAGGTTGAGAGGCAGCTATGGAAAGTAGAAAGAGAAACGGATTGAGTCAGGGCTCTTAGATGCTAGTCCTGGTTTTGCTTCCTGTGACCTTGGTCAGGTTGCTTTTTCTGATTTCTGCGCCTTGATTTCTTCATCTCTAAAATGAAGGGTTTGGAGTAGATGGTTTCCAAAGCTTTTCAGTTCCGAGATAATTTACCTCCAAGGGATTTTGTATGCCCAAATATGAAATATACAGGCATTAAATATATATGGAAATTAGTACTTTGGGAGCTGAGCATGATTTCTTTAAAATTTATCCAGGGTGGTTTTTTTAAAAATTGAAATCTTGAGAAAAAATTGAATATTTGAGAAAATAAAATGGGGAGGGACTTCATAACATAGCTACAGGGCAAAGATGTTGATGATTCTCTGGGCTTTAAAGAGTGCTTCCTCATTTTTATTTGCTTGGACCGTAACTGTTTGGAAGTTTGAGTACTGTGTCATGTTCACCCTCTGAACTATGCTATCTTTTACTGCATTTTCAAAATAGGTTCCTTTTTGTTATTATGTCATGCTGCCTCTGGTTTTGATGATGGCTCACCTAGTCCCTTTGACTTTCAATTGAGTTCATGTTATATTAAATCATGTATGTACTACCTCCCTTATATTAGTTTGAATTTTTAACATGTTGAGTTGTTGTTTTTTTTTTGTTTTTTTTTTTTTTTTTTTTGAGATGGAGTCTCGCTCTGTCGCCCAGGCTGGAGTGCAATGGCATGATCTTGGCTCACTGCAGCCTCTACTTCCCAGGTTCAAGCAATTCTCCTGCCTCAGCCTCCCGAGTAGCTGGGACTACAGGCATGATATGTTGTGTATTTTAATTGTAATATACTTTTGTAATCTTTGCATCAAATATATTAACAAATATTTTGAAATTGGGGAAGGGTCGGGGGAAGGTTTTAGAGCTACTTTTTGATTAGGAAATTTTAAGACAATTTTTCTTGGTCCAAGAATTTTGCAGATAGCCTGCAATGTTTATATGCCAGCTTATTGCATGGTTTTACTTCCATTCCTTTTGTCACTAGGGAGACAATTTATTACTCGAACTAATTATGATGGCTGGTACCAAAGGTTACTTTTATGCAGATTATGTTACATGTCCCTTTAGTCCATGATTTTATACTCCAACATTCCACCTCCACATTTGCAAAATTCATGCAAAGGAGAAGGAACAAAAAAATAAAATTAAAGTTACCTGAAATTTATTTGTGGTTCCATTCGACCCTGCGCAGGTACTTTCCAACCTATTTTCTTCATTAGAAGAACACTGACACTTGCCATGCCCAGGCCCTTGTGATGGGTATACTATTCTTCTAATTAGGAGCATGCGGGTAGTACTGGTGGTATTCATTGACTGAAACCAAAACCTGAAAAGCAGCAAACCAGTACTAGACTCACTAACCAATGTATATACTTTGGAAACTTATTTAGTTTTATTGTATACATTCTTACACCTAGAAATCAGATATGACATTAAATGTCTTGGTATTTGAAAGAGATTACATGTCTAGGAGAAAATTTAACTGGATCTGAGAAATGGGTCTTTGTATGGTGGTGAAGCCTTCCTTTTATCAAGTAAAGTAAAATCCTTATGAAATAGGTAATCTTATTCTGAGAATTCTAAAATCTTATCTGATACTTCTAAAATATCAACTTCTGTTTATTTTTTTTCTGGCATAGGAGTGTTAGAGTTGCCTTAAACTATATACCCTATCTGAATGAAATATTTAATATTATCTCCCAGCCCTGATTTTTTTTCCATTCTTTGTGCAGTCTTCTATTGTATAGAGCATTTTGTTTCTTCTCAAAGTTTAAAATTTGAGAGCCATCACCTCAAAGTCAGTATATTTTAAGCCCAACATCCCTCTCCACATTGCCCGTGCTTTCCATTTGTTTCATTTCTTTCCTTGATGCCACCGTTCTGATCTCCCAGGTAACATTCAAAACCTTTGAGTCATTTTGACTCTTTTCTTCTCCTTGAATTGCCCTGTGTCAGTCTGCCCCAGGATTATGTCATCATAGTTTCTGAAATATCTCTTAGATTTTTCATTTTCTCATTCCTATTTGGCACCACTCTGGTTTGGGCTGCTATCATCTCCTGCTTGAATTATTGCCACAGTCTGCTGCCTCTCCCTACTCCAGTCCATCCTGTGTGCTTGTGCCAAACTAATTTTCTTAAAACACAGTTTAGTCATGTCACTTTCCTGCTGAAAACCTGCATTGGATCTTAATTAGCTCTGAGTTTCTGTGCCATCTTCCTTCAGTCTCAGAGTTCAAGGAGACCCTCCATGTGTCCAGTGCTCACCTGTCCATTTGTGCCTTCCATATCTTTCTCTTCCTGCCTCCTCCCAGATCTTGCTCCACCAGGCCACCCATCTCTCCAATATTACCTCTCTACTGGCTCATCCTGTAACCATATTCAGTCTCTAATTTTTAAAAAACAAAATAAGACAAAAGCCTTCCTATGCCCGTGTTCCCTTTAGCTACTATCCAATCTCTCTTTCTTATCCTTCAAATTTCTAAAAAAAGTAGCTACATTTACCTTATCTGTTTTATCTTTACCCCTCTCTGATCTGGATTCTGCTACCAAAACCACAGAGGAGCTATCCTTAATTAACATCACTGTGACCCTCTTGTTGCTAAATTAGTGGACATCTTTCATTCCCTATCCTTCAGGTTCTCTCTGCTACATTTGATACTTAAAATGATTTCTTCTTTTTTAGAAGCTTCTACTCCAGGGTTCACAAACACACAGGACTTCAGAGGCAAGGCAAGTCACAGAAAATAGCGCGGCATAAGGAGAGATGGGGCTTTAGTTGAACTGAAAGTTATGTATCTCATCTAATGGTATTCAAATTCTAATTTAAGAAAAAACATTTTGCCAGCCAAAATAAATCACAGAACTCCTTGGCCACTTCACTCTCCTGGTGTTCCTTTTACTTTTCTGGCAGTTTCTTACCTGTTCATTCATGGGCTTCTCTTCCTTCTTGACCTTTAAATACCAGCAATCTCTAGAGTTTTGTTCTCAGCCCACTACTCTTCTTATTCCCTACTCTCCCTAGATGGTCTCATCTTACCTCTCATAGATTCAGTTATCTCATGGCTCCCAAATAGGGATTTCTTTACCAGACTCTGCTTGGGCTCTTATCTGGGCTTCTTCACTTGGTAGCTTACTGTTATCTTAAAATTGACATAAACAAAAATCTCCCAACACCCCCCTCATATCCCCACCCCCAAATGCTCAAAATAGCTTTCCGAGTTCTGTATTCACAACCTCAGTTGAAGGTACCTCCACCTATCCCATTAAAGCATGCTTAGTTCGCCCCACTCACACTTGCCACTGCTAAGCAATTAGCAAATATCAACAATACATGGCTTAAGAATTTCTTTTTCTCCCTACCACCACTTTATTGATTCAGGACCCTTTCACTACCCTGGCTAGTCATCTTGCCTTCAACCTTGTCATCCTCACATCCATCCTCCAGCCTGCTGCTAGATTAAGACACAAAAAATACAGATCTAATCAAACCATTTTTCCTGCTTAAGATTATCTTGTGGTTTTTCCCTTCATGTGAGAATCTAAGCTCCTTAACAGAGCATACAGAAATGGACTCTGTGTATCTGTCAGCCTAAACTTTTGCCATTTCCCTTACTGCTTGTATGTTCCTGTTCACAGCGTGCTGTTTTTTTTTTTTTTTTTTTTTTTTTTTTTTTTTTTTTTTTTTTTTTTTTTTTTTTTTTATCTCACTGCCTCTGCTCAATCTGGGGCCTCCACCTAGAATGCTAACATTCACCTCCCGTTTACCTGGCTCCCATTTCCCTGGCTCTCTATATGTCACCACCTTCTGCAAGTCTTCTTTTTTTCCACTAAATTGTAAATTGCAATGACAAGAACAATTCTGATTCCCTCTGAATCCTCAGTGCATAGCACAGTACCTGACAAGAGGTGAGTTGAATGAATATTGGTTCACTTTAGTAACACTCAGTGTGCCCAGATAGTACAAACTATACTGTAGGCCCTCAACAGATACGTTAGTTGAATCCTGCTGTGGAGAGCACTTGTTTCTGAGCATAGATGTGTATCATTACAACAATATCACCAGTACCAGTATCACCAGTGATGGAGTTTATGGCATGAGCTTACCTCTGAAAGCTTTGTTAAGCTATTCCCTATGTGTCAGAGTATTATCTTAATGTTTTGGGTTTCTAGTTACTTTAAGAAGATATTAGTCTTTTAACATGAAATTCATTATAATTTCTTAAGAAGTAGAATGACGTAATCATACTACTTGTATTTCCAGTTCTGAGATGATGATCATAAATGGATATTAGGAGATCTTTTTCCAAATTTTAAAAAATATGATTATATTAACTCTTACAGATTTGAGACTATAGAAACAGAAATAATGAAATGTCTCTTGGAAGTATTGTGCTTCAAAAATACTGTACATCTGA